AGTACACGTAGATATGATAGATTATACAATATTTTCTGTCTTTTATCGAGACGTTATTTTAAAATTGAACAAAATACGTCAATCAATCCCATTTAAATAAAATTGCCTTTCTATTTGATCTTGGGTTTGTTTCACTCCTTTGAACATCTCATCGATCATAATATTAATTAGGATTCCTTGATAGTTTCTATAATAGTGAATTGAATAACAATTTCTATACTTCAATTTTAGACTGAAAATTTTTTGAAATCCCTCTTTTATTCTAAGCTTATTCTTTATTTAAAAGCCTCAACCATGTTATGGAAAAATATTTCTTAGCTACAAACTGTCTATCAACAATTCAATAATAATTTATCACGTAATCTTCAAGCGTAATGAAACCGAAGATGGTCGAAATAAAAATTATAAGATGTAAATAATTGAAAGAATTATTTAGAAATCTAGAGTACAAAGCTCAAAATGACATGGTACAGAAAAAAATTACAGAATAATTCATTGAAGAACAATCTTGCATCTTTTCACTGATCAATCTCCTTGCTCCGAAGTCGCCGTCTGCCATATGACTTACCGATTCTACTGTTCGTGCGGTTTCATAAAATCCACCAAGTGTCGAATCAAACAGTCGAGGGGGTGGGCGCATTTTTTCTCCAACTGTATATATCTATATCACGGACGCCTGCAGATCGCATGCTCCGATATTCACGATAGGCTAGCACGCGAATACAGTCATCGACCCTCTTCGATGCGGCCACATTATACAACACTGCGAAACTAACCTAGGCTAACGTTTCATTCAATGCACACCCATACGCACGGCCGGCAAGAACACACACACACACACACACACGAAGCCAGGCAGAGGGGAAAAGTCGATGAAATGGTACACGAAATCGCCGCGATGCTAATTTTCTCAGCTAGATCGGTCGTTTCGTTTATTGCGGTACTTTCTACTTGGATATAGCAATATGCACGAGCAGGTTGATTCTCAAGAAAGAAACAACTTTGATCTAAATATACATGTGCGTAGGTACGTGTACGAAGAGTGTATAAATAGCTGCGAGCTCTCCTCTGACTGATTAAGTTGAGATTATTTTTCATTTATTACACATCAGATACATACACTTCGGCTGAAAAATGGTATGCAGATTGAGATGGTTTTTATTCTTATTTTTATTCTTATTTTATTCGCTCTTCTTTTTCATCTTTATTCCTTTACTTATTCTTCCTGTTTTCATCGTTATTGTTTTATCTTCGATACTAGGTATTTATCGTGGACGAATTTTTCAAAAATTGTATTTTATAATACAATTTTTATTGCATGTACTTGTTACTTTGCAGATGTACGAAGTATTATTTAAGTCTTTCAGCTTTGAAATTATATTATAGCGTATAGTTGTTTTAACGCTCTCGAGTAGCGATGTATTTTAATCAATTCTCCAAGTTATGCTTACTTTAATTATATTATAGTGACGAATGTACACATAGGTGCAAGTTCTGACAATTCAAATGAGAATATTTCTCATTTATAAATATACGGATATATTTTATTTTAAATCGATATATGTTTCACAAATATTTTATGATGCAGAGTAATTATTTTTCTAACAATTTAACTGAATTTATTTCTTATTCACATGAAACAGACATATTTTTGCCCGAATATAATATAATATAATATAATATATGATGATATCATATACCAATTCGATTGAATTTATTTTTAAGAAACAAGGAATCCATCTCGAATATTCGAAATCAAACTGAAATCCATATTCTAACAATATTAACTCTGAAACAAATACCTGATGGAAATAAAATATTCCTATTTATATACTCGTCAGTTGTATTGAATTCACAACTGTTCGATAAACGATAAGACCTTCCGTGCTCAAACTATCGAGGTGAGTTTCAATTTCTATAAAACAGGAAATCGTTGGGAAATTCTCCGATAAGACGTAAATTCATATTCCCTCTACCAACATAGACCTTAAAGAAACAATGAATTTTTTTTATAAAAGCAATGTGCACAAATATATCTTTATCCTGCATATATCCTTGGATATCACATACGCTCCAACATTACCATTTTCATGATATTACGTTCAGAATATTACGCTCCATTCTCTTCTTCTTGAGACGAAATAAAAGAATTTGAGTAAATTTGTCACCAATATGAACAAAGATACGAGCTATTTAAAATATTCTAAACAATTTAAAATAAATCCAGACGAAGTGAGATATTTTTGTGATATTCACACGACATAATGTCTTTTTTTTTTTTTAATTTCGTCTTCTTTTAAAAAAGTTGCAGTCAGTGATAGACAATGATACGAAACATTCTGAACTATTCAAAATAATTTTGAAAATATTCCAAATTGTTTAAAATAATTCCATGGAAAGGAAGACACTACCATAATCTCTAGAATGTCGCAAGTTATGACGTTTTTTTTGTTTGATCTCGTGTCTTTTTAAAATGAAAGGTAATAAGGTAAATTTATTGCTACTCTGAACAAAGGCAAAAGGACATTCTAAACTACATAAAATCTATTCTTATCCTCTAGAGTGTATCGTGTGACGATAGATTTTATATGTTTTTGATTCAGTATGAAGATGCTGACTTTTACTCTGTTTTTCTGTAGATTGTAAAAGAAGAGATATCACAGTTTCAAAATGTCTAAATACAAAGAAAATGCTTTTAGTCGAGAATTGTATTAGGCGATGTTTAAAACACCAAATTACCTAGTTCCCAGATTTATATATTTGAAATTAACGACTAATAACCTTCTTCTCCTACAAATAAACGAAAGTCCAGTTATGAGAGGTTAAAATAATTCCACAGAGAGAAAGATGTTATCATAACGTTCAACGATATCATAGCACTATGATTTCAATTCAATTTTCTAAAATGAAAGATAATAAATTAAACTCGGTCTGTGAAAACAATTAATAATGTTAATTAAATGTAATACATGTATACCTAATTCAGCGTATAAGTGAAAGTTAGTAAAATAATATTTTTATTACACTGAGCACAAAGAAACGAGATATTCCTCAACTATTTAGCGTAACGCAAAGTAAGACGTTATCCGGTATCATGTAATAAAGAAAGACTCTTACTGAATAAATTCATTTTCAAACGAGACGTTGGGAATCTTCAATCATCTCTCAAATGTTTTGTTGTGGATTCCGTATCGTCTTTTCTCCAAGAAAGTCCCATCCAGTTAACCTTTTACAATGATCTTTCTACGAAGATTTCCTCCTATTTGAAAAACTGTTACCTCGCAATAACATTGTGTTTTATTCTCTCATTGTCACAAAATCAAATAAAGAGGAAATGGGAAACAGGAATCCTGAAGAGAATCCCTTCAAAACACGAGTCTTTTCATACTTTGCATTTCATTTTGTGAGTTTTGCTAGCCACAAATGTCAAATTTCTGCAGTTTTATTACACGATCTACATACGAGAATTAATCGAGTTCAGCTTTGCGCCAATCAAACTATTTAGTCTTTTAACACGAAAAAAAAGACGAACTGCAGTATATTTCTGTTATTTAACCTTTCCACGGTTCTCAAGTTTCTTCTGTTTCTATTCTATCAAAAGAAAGCTACTCAAACATCAAGTTCTTGTAATTCAATCCCACAACCCAGATATAGGAATTAAATCAAGTTTGGTTTTATCTCGGTCAAACTTTCCAGTATTATAAAGTATCATGGAGAAAAATGTCAAGGTTTTTGTTTTCCTATAATCCTACGATTCTGAATATTTCTTTTTTCATTTCAATCTAAAACAGGATTTTAAAAAAGATACTTAGAAAACAGTAGATTTCTACAGTTTTGTATATAAGATCCACGTACAATATTGATAAATATTTTATTATTGAAATTTTCCAATGTATCACGAAGAAGTATTGTTTTTTATCCTCAATTTTTTTCTCATTTAACCGAAGAAAAGGAATGTTCAACAAAATTCGCATAAAATTCAAACGAGCACGCAGTTACGATTCCAGCGATAAAACAGATGCAATTTCGTTGTAAATGATGCAAAAAATGCAGAAGTTTATTCCTCAAAGTATGGCAGTCAATAAATCATACTGCCAAGAAAAAGCTCTTGGCATACGAAGGTTTTTTACCAATTAACCTACAATAAATAAAAAAAATCTTGCACGAAACTGGACTAACTACGAAACATTTACCCTCGTTAAAAAATTGTTAATAACTCGTCCTGACTCTTAGCACGAGAAACTATCTTCGAGTTCTAAAATGCGATACTCTGCAAGTTTGAAAAAATTACAAAATATTTACTGCAAACACAGCAATTAAATCTAAGCGACGAAGATTTCTTTTCAACAGTTACCGAACTGCCCAAAGAAGGACGTGTAATTTCATCTCGTTTCATCTCGCCTTTCTTTCAACAAATGACGAAATGATCGTTGCAATTAGCATGAGCGTAATAATCTAACCTGCCCTGACCCCTTTGGTGGCACGCGATTGCTCCCAACCAAACCGCATGTAAAAAAAAAAAAAAAAAAAGACGTCGCGCGAAACTTGTGAAATTACGAACGGATGAAAAATGAGCGGTAACACCGGCGAACAACATGTTTCGTCCTCCGAGGAACGTTCGATCGTTTAACACAGGACGCGGACCATCAATCACAATCGCCGGGAGATTATTATGCAAAGACTCGATAGGCCAACATGTTTGATCCTCGCTTGAAATCTTGACCCTGTTTCACGGCTGGCGGTACAACACGCGCTCGGCGACGATGAACGCGCGTGCGTATGCAGATTACACGGTTTTCGCGTCGGTGTGCCCGTCGTTCTACACCCACGGGCCCGGCTTGCACGTACACGTCCGTGCGAACGTGTTGGCGTATACCTTCAACGGTTTACCACATGTTGCGCTTAGGTGCACGGAGCGCAAGTCAGCCAGGAGGAGCCCGGGCCATCAGGATAGAGAGAATTTCTCCCCTCGGCTCGGTCAGTTACGCGAGTACCAGCAAACGTTGCGCGTGTTTCCCGGTCTCTCCCCTGTTTCCCGTCGGTGGCGATGTCGCGATAAAACACACACGGATCTGTCGTTAACCGGGACGACTCGAGGCAACGCGCCATCCCCCATTGACAACAACGTGTTCAGTGTGCGCCTGGTTTGTGAAACCTGGTTTCATCCACAGCAGAGGATACGAGAATTTTAGGTGTAGTGTGCTCCCCGTGACAATGCCTAATATGTTCTGCCAGTGAGCTGGAACTCGTGGCCTTTTTTCCTCGATAAGGTCTGTATCTGTAGGCCTAACTATCTGCACCCAAACGAGAGGAGAGGAGAGCACTCGCCGAGCCGAGCCGAGCACAATTCGTCAACCTATATTCTTTTAAAATATAATTGAAATTTTATTTTAGATGTTTTTTTCTTTTCTTTTCTTTTCTTTCCTTCCAAAATTCTAAGTTGTAGTGATACGGTAAAATATTCTCTGATTAGAATTCTACGAGATATAACGTGCTTGGCGTGTTGTGGAGATTTTCAAAGAATTCCAACTGGTATTCGAAGAACGTTAAATAGCAGCAGTAATAGTAGTAGTGGTGGTAAACGGAAACGTGATTCCAAGCGAGTCCTATTACCCCACATTCTTTGGATTTCCACGAGACGTAACGCGCTTTGTGTTTAAAGATTGAAACGGACGCTCTTCGAGAAACGTCACTGCGAAAATTCTCCTTTGTAAAAGTTTGAGAACGTTCTTCCTTCTGCTTCGAATTCCAGCGGGGACGTAGATCGTGCTTTGCGTTCGAGGATCGAAAAATACTTTCTTTCGATAAAATTCTAATTGGCGTTTGAAAAATAGAGAGAACGAGCGATTTCGATCGAATCACTCCGCCCCCCTCCCCTTCCACCCTCTCTCTCCCTCCAACCATTCTGCTCTTTTGTCAGAATTCTACGCGACACGTAACGTGCTTTGTACTCCAAGGCCCGAAACCCTTTTCGCGAAATTTGATCTTTGAAAGTTCTACGCTTGAAAAATGTCAAGCACAGCGACGGCCGATTGTGTTCGATTTCTCGCGTAGCAACAAAGTAAAAAAAAAAAAAAAAATGAACGCGAGTGAAACATCCCTTCAAGGGAACAACGCGCTACGCATTTCTAGAACCTATTATTTGATAATCAGTTCGATTCTTCTCGACGCTACGCCAAACTTTTCCGGACACCGAGAGAGTGTCCTAAAGAGAGAGAGCGGTGGTTTGGTAAATGGGGCTTTTGGCACAAGAGGACCAGCAACGTAATGAATGTATCCTACACACTGTTATTCTCTCCTCACACCTGTTACATTGCCTGAATCACTATACAGTTACACGTAGGCTCGCTTCGTAAACAACCCGGGGAAAACGAGCATACGTTCTGTCGTTTTTGTTTCTCTCCTCTTTTTTTCTTTTTAATCACCGTAAATTCCGCGAACGTTCTACTACCCCGGCTTTTCTTTTTCGGCTTTTACGCCGAAAGAAGCAAACAAATTAAATCGCGCGCTAATCTTTCAACGAGTGCTTTCATAAAAGGCAAAGCGAGTTAACTGCATTCGCGAAAACGATTTCAAGCGTTTCAATACCGAATAATTGCAAGAGAAGAAGAAAAAAAAAGCACGAAAACCAAGGTTAATGCGTAAATGCATTCGCCACGCGCGGTTTTCTTCACTTCATCTCGGAAAATACATTATGCATTTATTCTCGTTTATTAATGACTCGCCCCTTGAAAGTTAATATCCATCCGCTCTTTATTTATCCACGTTCAATTTCGTTGGATATTGCATTATTGCGGCGTGTTTTTTCCAAATCAGAGTACACTCTCTTCACAACGTAATACGGTTAATTAATTTTTCACGCGATTCAACGCGAATTTTTAAAGCTTGGTTTAACCACCGCTCCCGTCAATTGTTAATTTTAACAGGATTCGATAACTCCTGCAACGTGAGGCAGCAATAAGTGCTTCACTAAATCAAATTTCATTTTTACGAACAAGTTATCGAGTGGAAAATTGTCTGCGCAGGATATAAAAGGTGTCCCTTGAATATTTTCAAATTTAAATTCGCACACACGATTCAACCCCGCTAATAATTTTCGTTTTAAATTTTTTCCTCGATGTTGAAACACGCGTTTTCTTTTTTTTTTTTTTTTTTAACTTGACGAGCAAATTTCTTCTTCGACGTGGTCGACAACTAAACGGCGGAATAAAATTAACGAATAGCACTAATTTATCAAACTCAGCTGAAACAATTCAGTTAATTTCGGAGTTCAACGGTTACTGGCTAGAATAGTTTCACTCAAAGTGATTTATTAAATTAAATACATACAATTTATTGATCGCAAGATTGCTCGGATGGGATAGAGGCTGCTGCACCAAGCGTATGCAATACTGTCACAAAACTATCTCCAAAATTTAACCTCGTTTAACGATCAATATTTTTATTAACAAATCTTCTTGAAGTCACGAACGACTCGCAGGAAACCCCTTCTTTAATTTTGCAAAAATCGTATAATTCTTAACACTGAAGTCTTGGCTGAAAGTGGTTTCGCGTATTAGACACGTTGCATACTCTACATACTTTATTCGTATTGCGCGCGTTTTGTGCAATTGTGCAGTGATTAATAATTGTCCGAAGTAACGAGGTCAACAGACAGTATCGTTCTATCAGATTCATATTTCGGAAGAACAAGCAACGAACCTGAATATTTCCCGCGTTTCCAAAAATAGCCGAGAAGAGCTTGACTTGTTTCGCGCACGCAGGAAATTTGCAACCGAGTACGCAGAGTACACGCGAGTCTGAATGACACTCGTTCGAGTACGCCACGATAATACAATGTTGCAGCGTAACGCGAGCAACCGATCCTCCTCCTGACAAATTAATACTGTCGCGATTGTATATTAGCGGCGACGCTGTCAATCGAAATTGAAAGAAAAGCGCAGCCACAGTTTAATTTCAGAAATCGTGAATACCATTGACGAACGTGAACAACAATAGAACCGTCCAATAATAAAGAGCTACGAACATCGTCCCTGACTTCCACAACACGTTTCTCAACGAGATCCCTCAGTTGCTGCTGCAAATGCGCTTCTGCGTTTCTGCTCGTGAGAGATCGCATGAGAAAAAGAAAATAACGACTTGAGGGGAAATGCTAATTTGCTCGTATACCGGGCTCGATTCGTGCAACTGTAACAAATTGTCCCTTTCTTTTTCTTTCTTTGAACGAGATTGGAGAAATGTATCGCAGGAAGAAGATGAATTGTTCAGGATAGGCTGCATACTCGTGATTGTTGTGGAAAATTTACGTAACACGCGTGTTTACATGAAATGTGAATTGTATTTATATAAAGATGGATAATTCATACAATTTTGACATGATACGTTTGCACAAAATTAAGTATAATTTGTGTATAAATATGTATGAATTGTTTAATATGTATTGATATTTAATATGCATTTATTTACGTTCGTGTTTAATTTGGTGCAGAAATACACATAGGTAAAAAGTGTACAAAATATTATCCGAAATACAATACCAGCTATAATATCTCGCTAGTAAAATAATTTTCTATCTCTACGTCTCGCTTTTCGAAAGTGTGAAACTGTAAAAAGATCCGCGATTTACTTTTTGCGCAAGTGCAATGCATATTCCGTATGTTGCACTATTTTTTGCAAGTGGAAACTTTTCTTGTTTTCTGCATACTTCAAATCCTCTCGTTATTGCGCGTGAAAAAATACCAACGATTAATACGGTCGAGAATTCATGAATTTGAAAAATATTTCAACTTTAATCTCGCGGAACTTGTGTAGAGAAACAATATTGTTTCAAAAAATAAATTTCACAAAAACAAATCAATTATCTTTGTGCTTTTTGAGAGGATTTCCACTTGATTCCAATGATTTATCATAATATCATAATTTGACAAAATTACAGAGAATCTAGATATACTGACATGCTTTGAGAAATAAATTTTTCTCCTTTTATACATATTTTTGATATCAACGTGCTCAGGACACCTCATTATGTTTTTAGCATCGATTAATATGTCATCATAAATTCTAGAACACGTTTACTAGTTTTTAAACTGTGAGAACCCATTTATCTCGAATGTGACAAGCGAATCCTTGAAATTTTCTTTCAAGGGTTCGCTTCTTTCAAGGATTGGCTAACAATGTTAAAAGGCACAGTTCAACACTGTAACAAGTTGTTGAAAAGAATTGCAAATTTAATGCACGTTTACTCCATGTATTCCATTTGTGAATAAAAAAAAAATGAACGATATCAATGGATAACCCACTCTGAACATTTCATTTTCTTTCTCCAACTTAAATTAGTAAGAAAAGAAAACACACGTCGTCAATATCACTCTCCTGTGCATCGATGAGAAAGAAAACCAAAAGGAAAAAGAAAAAAAAAAACTGAAGCGAAGTAAAATACTAAAGAGGGCAAGAAGTCAACGGGACTGACGTGCAAAAATAGAAGAGAGGAAGAAAGAAAAATCGAAGTACATAATTCCGGCGAAAGCTTCGCGACCGCTTTCGGAACGTGTTAAATTAAAAACTCTCCGCTAAAAATAGCTTCATTCTAGTTTGCTTAAACTGCGATCATCTATCACCGCAACTACCGTGCCGCACGCAATCCTTTATTTTTCATTGGACCAGTGACCTACCTATTCAAAGCACTTGGACCTTCTTTCTATTTTTTCTTTTTTTTTTTTCTTTTTCTGTTTCCTTCTTCGCGCCATACATTTCCTCCGAGCTTTGGCCACGCTCGTGCATAAAAATTGTGTCGAACGATCTTTTTATATTGCGAATATGCGCATTTACATTTGAAATTAGCGCGAGTGTGAGTGGAGAATGATTGTCGCAAGAGTGTTGCATGACACAAAGTTGGTTGACATTCTGTTCGTTGTTTTGCAGATTCGAGCGCCTGACAGCGCGGCGGGGCGGCCCCAATGCCGGTCAGGAAGGGCCTCCTCGCCCCACAAAATACTTTCCTAGATACTATCGCCACTCGTTTCGATGGAACCCGTAAGTATATTCGTATCACACGAGTCAAGTTCAATTTTTTGAATTATTTAAAATGAACGAGCACAATCTAGATACAATAATTTCTCAGAGATTGCACAGTTGACAACTGATCTTGCATAGCTGAATTATCGTTGGAAGTGGTCGAAGTAAGCAATCCGTAATCATTTTTTCTTCAATTGTTTAGAGATTTTATTGATTATTCGATAATTAAAACTTATCGCGTCTTTATCGTACTAAAAATGTTTCCCCCATTCCTTGCATCTGAATATTATACTTCAGTCCTATACGGTGCTTCTAGTTACTTTGTTAAATTTTGTTAAATTTCATAATTGATCTCCGCCATAGAAAAAAATATTATATATTAATATAATATTATTATATATATAATTATAATATTAATATTAATATATACTATAAATAGTCTAAATGGTTCAAATTTCAGTAATGCAACATAAATTTCTGCAGCCATCTATAATCCAGCAATCAATTATCAGTAAAGTTTCATACTGTCGATTTTTTTATGCATTTTTTTAATAATTTCAAATAAAAATTTACTTTGTCCATTAAATATCACAACAGAATTTAGATACTACACTTTTCTCTTTATACGTACAATATGTTCGCATTTATAACTTCCAATTTCGAATAAACGAAATGGAACTTCGAAATAAAAATTCATTTCGCCTGCTAAGTAATCTCTTACAGATATTTTTTTATATTTTTGGATAATTTTGCATTCTTACAACGTCCAATTTCCCGCGAATGCATAAAAATCCGATCGTAAATTACGAATTGTCGGTACTAACCCTCGAGCAACGGACGGTACGCATTCGTCGATGACCTAGCCACACATTTCATCTGACAGTATCTCTCTCTTTTTCCACGTGCATGGAAGCCAATTTTTATATGTTAGATCTTTCCCTTGTTCTACAATTCGCAAATTACATCTGTTTTATAATTCCACAATAGTAACAGATAATAGCAATAATGTAAATGATTATCTTGTTTCACGAATAATTACAAAATTGCGAAAAAGAAATCGTAACTTGATAACTGGCAAAAATAATCTTCCGATAAAAACAAAATTGATATTCTTATTACATTTTCAACATTACGAAGTATTTATTTGTCAACTGTAAATTTTAGAAATTGAAATCAAACAGGGACACGTCATCTATGTACATCGGTCAAATTCTGTGTTTATCCGCAATGAATTCAAATTTAGTAATGTGTGATAACATATTGCAATTCTAACATTGAACAGAGATACACTCATCATTATTTGATTCAAATATCTCTGCGAAACTAATTCTCATCCACTTTCGATATTATTGTTTTCCACTTTTGTATATACGAAAATTGATACTAACCGTTATTACCCTCATCAATATTCATTCGTCAGACGCGAAAAAACATTTCATTTGAAGTACCTACAACTTGAAATCATTCAAATATGTACGATTGTTGTATTAAGGTAACTACGTTAAAGATGTAAGAATACACAGTTGATAAAGAGAACATACGAAGATGACTCGACAGAAAAATATACGGGCCTCCAATCACGATACAGGAGGCACATACTCAAACATTTTAGGGGCGCGAGGATTCGATTAGCCTTGATTCCGACATTCGAAAGCGACCCTCGTTTACGCGTCAACGGATTAGAATGGAACGATTTGTCAGTATAAATATAAAACGTGTTCAGCACGTGATAGATTATTTGTATACTGTTGTTCGATCAGACTGTAGTGGCTCGAGAAAGTATAATACTTGAACGCTCACTATGAGTGTAGCGTATATGTTACACAAAACATTTTGAAATTTTACTAATAATCAAATACTAATTATGATTGTCGTGATTATATTAATCAAGATCTAAAATACACAAAGATACATAATTTAATCTAAATATAGTTTATCACAGAAATATCTGGACATTTATATGAATACTTTATATGAATATATATTTGGTGGAATTTGAAATATATATAGAAATTGGGAATACATAATTATTCGCGAATTGGAACAGAACACACTTAGCGGAACATTTCATGAAATTCTGATATTTCACTGTCACATCATGATCGTACAAGTTGCAACTGAGTTTCAATCTGATTGTTCACGAAAGTATTCCAACTGTTGTAGCATTTTATAATGAATACATCGTGCGCGTTATTTTGATATTTCGCAGACATCACAAAAGTACAAACAACCAAACTACAATTTACTACGAAATTTCCAGTTTCTGTATATATAAACGCATTTTTAGATTTTCAAGCTCGATCGCTGAACGACGCCAAGACGTTTTATACAACACATAACGTGCATAATATATTCATAAGAGGATCCCTTAAGTGTCCGAACGCTTTCGCCAGTACGACACACTTCCCTTACTCCAGAATCTTGGGAAAAAAAGGAAAACGAAAAGAAAAAGGAAGAGATTTGAAATTTAAACTAACCCTGCTCCGTGTTAAATTTCATCGGTTCGACATGTTTGTTCTCTCACTTCCGTCATCCGCGTCTAATGTGGCATTCAGACCATCGCAGCACGTGCTTCGCTATTTACCAATCGCTCGATCAACGCTGCAAATTAATACCGAGGCGTTTCTCTCTCGATCGCCTGCCGCGCCCGTTGACGTTGCCCCGCTAATTAGTACACCGATATTCCGCCTCGCTGCACTAGCAACGCGCGAAAATCAAATTTATCCGGAGGATAATGGCGGCCCCGGGGTGAATTTTCATCGAGATAATCGGCAACGTGCGAACCGGACTGCTGCACATTGTTTTGCAAAAAATGGGGGGAGAAAAAAAGGAAACGATCGAACGAGATCATCTTTCGTAACATCGGGTTATCCCCGTGGGTCTTCCCACGGGAACGACAACTTGATTATCCTCAACCTTTTCCCTTTGTCGGTACGGAGGAGATAGAAAAGTAATCCGAAGAGAAACGGTCGTCATTTTTCTCTCTTTCTTTTCTCCTTTTTTTTTTTCTCAACTTTCGACAAAACTAGTTTCGACTGTGTCGTTAGAGAGCAGTCAGATGATACAGATCACTCGAGTTTTAGAACTATGGGGCGTGATACGGTGACGAAGGGTAGAAAGTTTGAAAGGCAAACGGCAACAGGAGACTATTCGCTGTTTTATACATATGCAGTGGAACTGTAATTTGACTAAAGCAACGAGCAGATATCACATCTTTTTGTGAGAAAATATTGACGAAAGAACATCGAAAGCGAACAAAATTTACAATTTTCTATATTTTATACGTTTGATATTGGAAATTTTGTACGTTCGTAACACGATGTATTGATCACAGACACTCGAATGATTTTTTCCCCCATTCCTCGGTAACAACAAATTTTATGCTCCAATCGTTTGTAGTTCTAGCTAATTAATATCGTCTACAGACCGGAGTGCTGGGCGACGTTTCATCAAAATAGAGATAAGAAGTAACAATTTGAATTAAATCACGTCGTACATACGCATGAAATTGATATTTTTACCAACCAGAATGATCGTTTTCGCATTGATTGGAAAGCTATTAATCTAATGAAATAACAACAAATAAATACACGGAACGCTTAATCTCTCGGACTTCGTCGTGCACGAATATTAATACGAGTCACTGAATGTGCTTTTCAAGTTACACGATGTGGAAAACGATTGGCTGTTATTGAAAAAATAAAAAAAATGTAAAAAAAAAAAAAATGAAAAAGAGAGGAGGAAAAACGTAGAAAAAGGGATAACAATAATCTCTCGAACAGCCACGCTGTCTGAACAATAAACACGAGTCGTTGTGCGACGTAAATACATTACAAAAGGCTGAAAACAGCATGCGTACGGTTGTTGAAGAACCATAGCGAGAAAAGAAAATCACGGAAGTTTTTAACACGCCCTGAGGATCAGCTACAGACAAATTGGATTCAGCGCACGTTCGCGTGTTTCAGCAACAGCGTCGCGCAATCTTTCGGAATTTGAATTTTGCATTTAAGCTCGGTGCCAGGCTGGAGAGAGCCAACTGTTTTAGAAAAGGCTCGCGCGCAATGGATACGGAATTAGATGCCGAGCGATATACCGTCAGGAAGTTCGGGGTCTGCAGGCGAAGAAAAACTAGTTTACAAGTGGAGAGGTGACAAATCGTCATCATCTTCGGACGAGGGAATTACAGGGCGAGTTGTAAAATCCTTGGAAAGTAATGGAATCGCATCGTCTGCCTCCCCACTCCGTCCCCAGACGCTCACGAAATTGCATTTCTGTCAATCTAAACTAATCTTCGGCAGTGCGTTTTCATCTAATCGAGAGGGTTGAATCGACGACGCTTACTTTTAAGTTTCTGTCGGATACCACGATTTTCCGGATGTTGAAACGTACGATGTGTCACGTGTAAGCAGAAAATGAAAAAAAAAAGAGACTGTTCCATGTATTTATCGTCGCTGTTGCCACACTTGTACGACATACTGTATCAACATCTGTGTTGAGAATTAATTTCGGGGCAACACATGGTGGTCTCCAGTTTTAAGAGTATTTAAGCCGCTTAACGTATTAAATGGAGAACTTCGTTCTCACTTCTGCGCATATTCGCGTTTGTACGTTCGTCGAAAATTCGAAAACGTCGTTATTATAGTATACATTGCAGCGACTCAGTTTTTAAATGAAATTGTACATTATTTTTGTCGAAATGAATTTTTGCTGAAATGCGAATATGAATTTCTGCATGTACACTAATAAATATTATGAAAAATACGCGATATTGAACGAACTGAATATAAATGTAATATAAATTAAATTGAAATTCGTACAATATATATTAAAATAAGATTCAATGACTGGCATAAAATTTGAATTATAATATACTTTCCTTAATCACTGGTCGAAATATCTATTATAAATTAAAAGATGTACTAACCATGATATTAAACAAGCTGAATATTAGAGTAAAAACTTATATAAATTATAACAGATATAAAAATTGAACTATTATTCAATGTGAGCGAAAAATA